CGGCGCCAGGACTGGGGTCCCTGAATTCGCCTTCGGCTCCCCGCGAAGTTTCGGGGTACCGTGGAAAGAGCTTCGTCTCGTCTCCCGGCGTGAGCAGCGCTACGGCCTATATAACGGGGAGAGGAGGAGAGGGGAGGTTTGCTCGTCTGGCCGTGTTGAGCAGGCCGAGAAATCGAGGCGAGCTCTGGGGTTGTTGAATGGTGTGTGTGCTCTGGAGAGGTGGGGGCGGGGGGAGAAACTCTCTGGGTCTTGGTGGAGAGAACGTCCTGCGCTGTGCTCGTCCTTCTTTTGTATGCGAGGCAGCTTTGGGAGAGAGAGGATGAAAGGCATACTGTTCTAGGGGATAGAAAAGCGCCAAGTAGTGCTGGCTGTGTTTCTGAACAAAGCTTTTCTTCCCACGAGCCTCGCCCCACTCATGCGACCCTGTTTGGATTTTCGTAAGATCTGAAGACATCTTTCTGAATGAGAATTTCTTTGGAGCATTGTGTTCTTTTAAAGACTTTTGTTGGAGGCTTATATTCTTGGCTAAAACTAATATAAACAAGTGGGTTTCTGATTCTTATTTGACATCCTAAAGATTCCCTAACCCGTAGCCTTTTGAAGGTGTAAAGAGACCAGTTTGGAATGACTAACATACCTTTCAAGATGAGGTTTCTGTTATGAATGGGTAGATTGTGTTTCTCTTTTTAATTTGCATGTTTAAGAGTTTCAACTAAACCCATTTAAAGAGTTATTGTACTATTTAATTTTTTTTGGGGGGAGGGGTCTCTTCGTTAAATATTTCAAGCAAATCAAGCCTCATCCTTTTAAATATATTGCATAGCATGTTTAAAACTATCCTTGCTGAAATAAAAAAATGTGTACATTACCAACTCCAAACTTGAAACAAATTCATATTTTACCTCTAGTTTATTTTAAATGTATGCCATGACCCTAACATTCCATATTGGTGACGTGTTCATTGCATTCTAAGGAAGAATGGCTAAGAGGAAATAGTGCAAAATATTCAAGTTAGCTATGCTAGCTTTATTATTTATTAAAGGACTTTCAAATTACTTTTTTGTAGAAAGATATTTGTGAGAAAAAAAATGAAAAATACAATATCAAGGTAATATTTCTTTTCCACAAATAAGGTTTCACAGACAAAATTTGGCCCTGACTAAACCTAGTTTCATGACAGTTCCCTGAAGCTTAACTAAGAAAAGCATGTACTATTCAAAGTATTTTCTATAACAGACCTGGACATTTTACAGTCTTGGGCCAGACTTTTGGCTGTCCCTATCTAGCCCATAGGAGGTTAATTGGAAATTAAAAATCAAATGTAATTAAGTGTATGCCATGCTCACAACACAACTGCATAGCTTTTATTTTGAAGGCAACTGCTCCCCCCCCCCCAAATTCATGTATGCGTGTACATGTGTGCCTTTACAGCCCTATTTGGTTCAGCCCTCCACAACAGTCCCAGTTTCTTATGTGGCTCCTTGGGAAAATTAATTACCTACCCCTGACTACACAGTGTTATCTGGGTTTGGCTAGCTATGCAATTGCTTTTCTCTAAATTCCCTTTCCCGTCCAATAGGTTCTGACCAAGTAAGTAGGGATCCAGTTGTGTGCCTTCTCTGTTGTTGCTCCTCCTAAATATTTGACACAAAGCTGACTCTATATTAAAAGGCACAAAAAAAAGTGACTTTGAGCAGGCCATAAGATGAAATGTTTGTGATCATGCTTTTATGGTGATTTAAACTTTTTAAATGTATTTCCCAATGGTGTCATTTAATTTTTTAAATATCTTTTGTATTCTGGTTGTTTTTATTGAGTTTTTAATGTAAGCTACTTTGAGTCTTTCCAGTTTGGCAGAATAAATGTGTAATAAATGTTCAGTGTGCAGAAGCTTTCATTAAATGTGACATACTCATTATATAGTTTAATTAAAAGTATGTTTCACAAGCTAAATAGAATAGTATATTTCTGAATTTGAATGATACTACCAGGAGAAAAGTGCCAGTTACATTCTTACTGGCATTAGTTCTTCCTTGATTTTCAAAATTAACAAATGGAAAAAGGTACCCTATTTCATCCTATATTGGGAAAATAGGGGGAAAATACCCATTTATGAAATGCTATGTCTAGTTAGATGTTGTAGAATAAGCTAACGAGTTGATTGCTACCAGACAGACTTATTTTTGAGTGGGAATATGAAAAAGTGTTAAATATGGGCAAACTGGCAAATAAGCCACAAAAGTACAACTTGGCATCCTTCATTATTGCAATGGACATTGCAGTGAAGAATAGTGGAGCTGCTGCAGTTGAAGATAAAGATATATACTGCTGCTCTTTCGAAATATTGTTAAAATGGAATTGTGTGCTTATACTGTGTCCTCATTCTTTGCAAATAAAATAAAAGTCTTTCATGTGTTTTGTTGCAAGACTGGTAAAATACTGGTGTTAAAATTGGGGATACATTTAGTTCTCATTCAAGGTTACAACAGCACTGAAAAAGTGACTTATGACTGGTTTTCACACTTAGGCCCATTGCCACATTTTCCTGGCCAAAATTTGGGTGGTTGGCAACTGGCATGTATTTATGACCAGAACAGCTAGACACAAGGACAGTTTTTCCTGAATGCCACCACTCTGCTTAACAACTAATTCCCACAACACTGTCAAATAATTTACTAAGACTATATTACTATTATTCTTCTCTTCCTTCTTAGTATCTATCTCTTCCCACTTATGACTATAACCATGTTGCTTGTATCTTTANCAAGCAGCTGATTGGCGGTTGAATCGGCCTCCCGAAATACCGCCAATCAGCTGTTCCAGGCTGCTGGGATCGCCTCCGCACATCGCTGCTGATTGCTGCCTCCGCACATCGTGCTTTTGGCATCACCTTTAAAGCCCTACATGGCCTAGGACCTGGATATCTCCGTGACCGCCTCCTGCAATATACCTCCCAGCGCCCAATAAGATCACACAGGGCGGGCCTTCTCCGGGTACCATTGGCTACGCAGTGCCGTCTGGCGGTTCCAAAGGGCCAGGGCAGCCTTCTCTGTTGCTGCCCCGGCGCTTTGGAATGATCTACCCCCTGAGATCCGGACCCTCCCCACTCTCTTGGCCTTCTGTAAGTCTGTTAAGGCCTGGCTGTTCCGGCAGGCCTAGAGCTGTTGATAGTGATTGAACTTCAGCCCCCATTAAAACTGAGTGCGTGTTGTGTTTTGTTTTTAAGTCCTGTCTTGTATTTTTAAATCTTTTAAAAATATTTTTAAACTGCTTTTATGTAAGCCGCCCGGAGTCCTTCGGGATTGGGCGGCATACAAATCTATTAAAATTACAAATTACAAATTGCATCCATGTGTTGTGATTTTGGCCTCCACATGCCCCATTTTTGGCATCCATGCGTTGCATTTTCAGCCGGTTCCAGGTGGCAGTGATTGGCAGCGATGTGCTGTGACAATCCCTGCAGCCTTGAACATATCTAAAATGGCGCGTGTGGAGGCTGAAAAGGTAACACGTGGAGACCGAAAATGCCCAAAGGGTGGGAGGTGGGTGGAGCTTCAACAACATTCAGTGTATAAGATGCACCACAATTTTCACCCACTTTTAAGGGGGGGGGGAGTTAGTGTCTTATACTCCAAAAAGCATGGCAGTCATTAGTTTTGAGAAATTTAATTTGAAAATATCTATCACTTGCAAATGAACTTAGCTATTGCAAAGTTTAATGGTTTACATTTGTACAGATTCTATAGTCATATTTGTGTCCACCCTCCCCCCACAAATGTTATTCATTACTTAGAAAAGTAACATTTTATGCCTGAAATTTTAGGCCCTTAAAATTAGCAAATAAGCCTCCTGATCAGAGTCAGGGGCTTTCTTGAAAGCATTCTTCTACCATCCCCAAAACATCTCTAGGATTTGAGGAGAACTTTTTTTACATGATATTCTTCCTAATATAAACTTTCTTACTGTTCCAGGCTTCTACAGGTCATTCAATTTTAATTTGATATTTATTGTATTTGTACCATTCTCCCATTATGAGTTTATATTGGATCAGATCCAGATTATATCCACTGAACCTATGTCCTTTCAAATGTACCAGGGGTTAAATTATTAGTACACTTTTGAGTTTGATATTGCTTAAATCTGACTAATCCAGATTGAATCTGACATTATTTTCACCCCTTCATCATTATAGGAAGTTGCTCTGATTTGTTAAACAAAAACATAGACTTTACAATTGTGATTTTGCAAAGGTGGTTATTTTGTTGATGTGTACTTATTTAGTATGCTTTGATTCCTTTCTAAAGGGTGGCCAATTAGTGGCTTAAGTAAGTGCATAATTCGATTTTTAAGTGAAACAACTTCCTCCCATTTTCTGCATACTATACATTAGAAAGGGTGACCATTCTACCAACCACACCTAACTTCTATCTTTAAGCTTAATGCAGCATCTTTCTTTAACTCTAGCATATTTCTGTAAGTGGTGGTTAAAGTAAGGAGTATTTAAAGTATATTAAAAAAACGCTGCTTTCTCAGCCTTACCCATTTAGCCTGACCATCTTAATGAAGGTATGTGCGTGCTCTAAAACAGAAAATGACCAGGTGCTATCAAAGATTTCTAGCAGCTGCTCAGGGCACACACATTCTCACTCTTAAATAACTACACGAAAACCTCCTAATTATTTTCAAAAAGTGCTGAATCTCCAAGTTCTTTTGCAGGCCGCGCTCCTAGAGAGGGGAAACCCCCTTACCGTTTCAACTAGTTTGGCAGGGGTGGGCAACTATGATAACTTTATGCCCTGTGGACAACCCGGCGCAGGAATTCTGGGAGTTGAAGTCCACAGGTCATAAAGTTGCCACAAGCTGCCCACCCCTGAGTTTGAGGTTTGCGCATCTAAATTTTTAAAAAAACTAGTCGGGACCAAGAAGATTTGATCGACTCATGAAGAGATCTGCTCTGAGATCGAAAAGAAGGGGGGGACTTCTGAAACCCGGCCTCAAACCTTGCGTTGGGCGCTGGAGTCGTACTTGTCATTCCTGAAGCCTTGAGCGTTCTGGTGCCGTTGAGCTCGCGTCCGGGATACGTTCCCTCTCTGCGAACTCATCTTCCATGCTTCTCCCCTCACCCGGAAGCAAATCGGCTCCTCACATCCGGCGAAGAGGTTTGTTGAAGCTCCTCAAGTTACCTCCAGCGGCAGAGCGGCTGCTATTGGCTTCAATGAAGAAGATCCCGCCTTCCTGCCAGGAAATCTGACAAGAGAACGCAGCCGAGAGACGTAATTTTATTGGCCGGCTCCCGAGGGCTACCGGTCAGAGAGGCTTTTAAGTCCCGCCCCTCGCCTCGCTTGGCAGGGGTCTATACCTCAGCTTCTCCCTCTCGCCTGTTTTCTGTTTAGTTCCCCGTCAGGCGGTTTGGATTTTTTCTCTCCCACGGAACACGCACCGGAGCTTCTGCCGTGCTCTAGTTTCGGTGGTTGTTTTTCCCCCCGAGGTTGGGCGCCGCTGAGCAGAGGAAGGGAGGACCTCGAGCCGGCGCTTTAGGCCGTCGCCCGGCGTTGGAGCGTCGGCGGTTGCTCGGCTTAACTGAATCCTTCGGCTTTCGAACGGCGCCGCTTCAAGAGCCTGGGTCGGAACGGGCCGAGCGCTGTGTGCGAGCCGAGAGCGAGCGCCGAAGCGCGCCAGCCGCTCTGCTAGGCAGTTGGACGCGGCCGTGTGGTCTCTGCGGACGCGAGTCCGGAGGTGAGCGTCCTCTTTGTCGCCTCCTCGGTTTAAGGAATGGGGAGGGGACCCCGGCCGAAGGTAGTGGCCGCGGTGTCTCTCCAAGCAGTAGTAGCCGAAGTAAGAGGAGGGGGAGGGTTGGTTGTCTGAGGTATAATTAAGGCCGCCTGCGGTCATTCAGCCTTTTGGGAGGATCCGGACGAGGATGCCGGGAGAGCTCTTGGAACCGGAGCCGCTCTGCTGGCCCCCCGAAATGTGTCCCGCGTGGGGTGGGTAGCGCCCTCCGTATGCGCGCGCAATTGTCCTCCATATCTCTCT